CATGCGTCAGCTTTGAAGAGACAGTGGACATTTACCGAGATCCGTCGTGTGTTTTCCACTCCAGCTGTTGACTGACTGGCATGTTTTTACTGTCTCTCTCCGTGTCCAGAGAACAGGATAGAAAACTCGCCAAAGCACACAGTCTCCAGTACAAATCAGTTTACCACAGATGTTCTGCAGTCATCTATTCAAGTTAAACGGGCTTTAAATAGGCACCAAAACGAGAGCCATAGGCCTCATCAATGTTCTGCGTCAAAACAGCCGTCTTCGCTCTCTGTCACCGCCAAAGTTCAACCACGACCGGGACAAACCGGCCTATGAGACGCCTGCTGATGGAGCCTGTAGGACAGTTGAACACGCCTGGGTTTGCTCCCAAGAAACGTGCCCGTTGATACAAATGAAAAAATGACAGCCTTCGCCTCCTCCTCCTCGTCCTCCTCCTTTTCCTCCTCCTCCTCCCGGTGCAACCAACACAAACTAACCGCGCGTCTCCTCAAACTCCGCCTGAGGCCGCACTGCTCCGCACGGATTGGACTCACGGGTGGCAGCGCCCTTCAGTAGCTAATCATGAACCATCACTGCCGCATGTCCCGCCTGCCGTGGCAGTTCCGTCACTATAAAGCGCGAGGGCTCCGGTCTAGAAAGGAGAGTTTCAGAGAAGGGAAGAGTAGCGCTCAGCTTATGGTAGGACGCGGTTTTTATGGAGTCTGGAAATTACACCACCGGTATCAAAGCACAGTATTTTTGCAGTGAGCATTTATAAGCAAAGAATATGGTAGTAAGTGGCCAGAGCCACTGTAATTAGATATTGGACTATATTTACATAACAACAGCGACGTTAACCACAGATTTTGGTTTTCAGGCAGTGCTGTGCCGCGCCGCTTGCCGCTGTTGCGTCGAGAGTTTCTGCCGCATCTGGAGAGCTGTCCGCGGTGCTGAATGCACAACGGGGCGCAGTGAGGCGCTGGCCTTGGTGCTGAATCCAAGCTCTGCCTTATTCTCCCCAGTTTTCCCTTCTCCTCCACAACACTGATTAGTTAGGAGAGGGGGAGAAAGAGAGAGGGAGTGAGAGAGAGAGAGAGAGAAAGCGATTGCAAATGATGCATGAAGAATCGCCCACCGGGAGAGAAGCAGATACGCCACTTAAAGAGCCACGGACCGTTTTTAATGATTCCACTCTAGCGAGGGCTCCACGTAAGGCGGGCTGAGCTCCACAGTTCACTTAACACACTGGAGCAGTTGCGTGTGCACGAGTGTGCGCTTATCTGTTGTAGTTGTGTGTCCGGTTCTGTCTGTGATCACGCAGCGATCTTATGTGTAGGTAAGCACGTGTTTTTATGTGCACGGGCCTCTTTGTGAGGTGCTCATGTGTGCGTGTGCCGCAGGCGGTTCAACAGATCTGACCGTTTTAAAGCTCATTGTATTGCCTGTTTGCCAGTGGTGGACATTAACTAAGTACATTTACTCAAGCACTGTACTGCAAATATTGTACTTTTTACTACATTTATTTTTATAACATTAGATACTAGTTACTTTTCATGGCTAGATTAATGCAAAAAAAATACAGTATAATCATTGATCTTTGGTGGAACATTCACAAACTCTCCAGCATTTAAGCTCGTTAAAACTAACTCCCCCTTCACCAACTGCAACATTAAATGTGATGTCCTCAATAACGCATCAGTAACTATAGTCCAATAATATGAGACACAGGAATGTGAAATGTTTCATTTTGCATAATGAGTACTTTTACTTTTAGTACTTTAAGTGTGTTTTGATGCTAATACCTTTGTACTTTTACTGCAGTAACATTTTGAATGCAGGATCTTTACTTGTAACAGAGTATTTAAACACTATTGTACTGCTACTTTTACCTAAGTAACGGGTCTGAGTACTTCTTCCATTGCTGTTTACACAGTAATGAATGGAAGCCTGTTTTCCTAATTGAAGACTAAGAGAAGAGAATGACAGAACTGCAGGGCTGAATAACTGCAGGTATCTAGTTTGGATATAGTTGGATATATTTATTTACTGGTAAAGTTTTCCTTTCTTTTTACCTTGTTTTCTCTGAGGATGCATACCCATATTCACTCATCAATAAGCATCAGTAAGTAGTATTTGCAATAGCCAGTTTGTATGATTGCATCTGTGTTTTTAGTTAAATGCATATTTGTCAAGGTCACAAAAGCTGATGAATGGACAGTGACGCTTAGTTAGGTGATTAAATATTGAGTGTCAGTCTGGCACAGTGATTAAGTGTGGTGGCTGACTAACTAAGAGACCGATGAGCTGTCTGATGGAGTGACTGCCTGGTCAGCTGCTGGGTATTCTACTGACTAAACAGAGCAAGAAACAGAGGAAGTAAAACAAATAAACAAGAACGAGATTGTGAAAAGTGAAGGGAGAAAGAGGGAAAGAACAGATCAACAGAGAGAACAGTGACAGGTCGTATCATCCCTCTCACTTGCTGTGTCAGGGTGTGTGTGTGTGTGTGTGTGTGTGTGTGTGTGTGTGCATGTGTCCGAGACCCTTGCTTCCTGCGTTATCTCACAAGGAGACTCATTACCATAGAAATGACTTCAGGAAGAGATGTACAGCATTTTACCTCTGGAGAGAGACAGAAGGGAAGTTGGAGAAAGGAGAGGAGTGACAGTGCAGAAGAAGAGGAGAGAGGAGGAAAGTGGAGAGATAAGGCAGGGAAGACTGGTGGAGGGGTGAGGTAAAGTATTCATGACTGTGAAAAGTCTGATTACCTCTTGGCTTGTGACCCTGACATCCTAAGCAGAAGGGTGGAAAGGATCAAGGGCAGGGATAAGAGAGAGGCATCATGGGAAATGAAGTTTAAAATGGGTAAAGCACCTTATATTTGCTTGTTCTCTATTTTTCTTTCTCTCTTTTAATCTCCTCCTTCAGTTATTGGCAGTACAACAGGACGATGGAGGGGTGGGGGTCTTGAGGAGAGCAGGTGGAGGAGGGTTTCTACTCAGTGAGCTGGAACCTTCTCAGGCCTCTGGCCAGTGCTCAGTGACTGGGCGGAAGAGGAGGTGGGGATCGGAGAAAAGAGGAAAAGTTAAATGGAACCCACAGAGAAATTATAGAATGATAGAGGAAAAGAGAGGAAAAGGAAGGGCAAGATGATTGACAGCGAAATGTACTGCAAAGAGAGTGAGCTGGGTACACTGACAGTCAGAGCAGGACAGACACACAGATATGTGTTTATGTACAGGGTCTAACGGCGATGTCCGTGTGTGTTTTGCAACATAGGAATGACTCCAGGGCAGAGAAGGCACATATGGTAATGATTCTGGTGTGATACCAACATGTCAGAACTGTGATTTATGACTTAGACGTCCACAAACAGCCTGAGGAAATGGTCTACGAAGTTATCTGCTCATGTTCATTCCAAATCAATGGATGAAGTCCTGACTTATTAATCTGTGCATATTGCCAGGACAGTAGTAGTGAAGTAACAGTGTGTAATAGAGGTCACATTGACAGAAACATATGGTCAGTGATCATGTGTGGTTTCCCTAATACACTAATGAACATGTGTGTAAGTGTGTGTGTTGGACACTGATTGGGTGAAAGACCGACAATGACACTGGTTGATAAAATGAGAGAGAAAGTAAAGACTGAACAAAGGGGAGACAAAAAAAGAGATGTCATTTAATTGCAAAGGCACATATATGAAAGTGTTTCTAATGAAAATGTGTTGGCCTATGAGAGAGTGTGAGAGGGGAAGTGAGCAGGATAGCGAGTGTGAAATAAATCCAATAAGCTCCTCAGTCATGCTCCCCTCTCCAGTGATTTCAAGACCTACTGAATTAAATAAATAAGAGATTCTTTTGCTTTTGTCAGGTCCCCTTTCCATCTCTCCAGCCAGTGTGCTTCAGTGCCCTGCTGGTGTTCGTGGCGGCCTCCTTCTTCCCTTCATCCCTTTTCCCCATCTGCAGCAGCAACTAGCTTTGCTCGCTGGTTAACCACAGAATCAAGTGCAGAGACCCATAAACATCCTACCTCTGGATGACATTTCTAACTGTTTGCTAAATGCCGTCCCTGAACAGTAATTATTCAATTATACCTTAGCAACTGTAACTAGGCCTGTCAGGCCTGTTAAGCTTTGGATTTCTACACGTGACCAAATGGTTTGCAGGGGATTGAAGTCGGAGCAATATTTGGCACTTAGGGAGTCTGGAGGGTGATGGAGGTTTTTTTTCTTTTTTGCATTTCCGCCTTTCGAAAACCAAAAGTCGACAAGAAAAAACTATTAAATAGTCTATTTATCTGCTCTAATTTAATTTACACACCAAAATCGACTTTTGGTGTTTAGTAATGAGAAGTCTGCTTTCGTCTGGCTCCGTCTGAAATCAAAAATAAATTGTTTTAGAAATTACAAATTTCAAGTGCTAAGTCTGTAAACTACATGTGAGCCAAAATGGGAAGGGGGGGGGGCTGTGGAAACAGAGCGCAACTGATATTAACATTCAACATCGACATTAGTCATTTGGAAAGAATATTTGACTGGAGACAAGGCAGTATGTGGTATTTCAACATGATTTATTATTCGACAAACCAAAACATCACAACACACATTTTCTTATTAGTAAAC